CAAGTCTTTGGAGTCTTTCAAAAGAAAAAAATGTGAACATGAAGAACAGAAGCAATTATTGAAGGCCACCACTTCATCAAATGTGTCTGCATTGAGAGCATCATTCTTAGTGGCTAACCGCATTGCTAAAGCTAAGAAGCCCTTTACTATTGGTGAAGAGTTGATCCTGCCTACTGATAAGGACGTTTGTCGTGAACTTTTAGGAGAGGCTGCAATTCAGAAGGTGATACGTGTTCCTCTTCAGCTAATACCATAACTAGATGAATTAGCAGAGGATATTGAGGCACAATTGTCAGAGAGAATTAATGAGTCACCGTGGTATGCAACCCAGGTTGACGAGTCTACTGATGTTGACAGCAAGGCAACAATGCTCGCTTTTGTGTGATATATTTTTCAGGAGGATGTGTATGTTATGTGCAATTTTGTTGCCAATCAACACCACAGCCGTAGAACTATTCAAGTTTTTGAATGATTACATATCAGGAAAACTGAATTGGTCATTTTGTGTCTGGATATGCAGACGGAGCAGCTGCAGTGACTGGACGGCTTTCTGGTTTCACTACTCTGGTCAAGGAGGTCGCTTCTGAATGTGAGTCTACACACTGTGTCATCCATAGAGAAATGCTGGCTAGCTGAAAAATATCACCTGAATTTAACAACATTTTGCAGGATGTGATTAAAATTATCAACCACATTAAAGTACATGCTCTTAACTCACATCTGTTTGCGTGGCTCTGTGAGGAGATGGACACAGAGCACACAGGTCTTCTCTTATACAGAGAAGTGAGATGGCTTTCTAAACGTAGATCACTGACCAGAGTTTCTGAGTTACGAGAGCCGCTCCAGAAATTTCTTTTAGAAAAAGCCACCACTGGCTTCACATTTCAGTGACACAGAATGGGTTGCAAAACTTGCTTACTTGTGTGACATATTCAACCTGGTCAACGAACTCAATCTGTCACTTCAGGGGAGGATGACAACTGTGTTCACTTTGGCAGATAAAGTGGCTACATTCAAAGCCAAACTGGAATTATGGGGGCGATGAGTGAACATTGGGGTTTTTGTCATGTTTCAAACATTAGCAGAAATTTTGAAAGAGACTGAACCAGGGCCTTCTTTTTCCCAGCTGGTGCATGATCACCTATCTCAAAATGATCAAAAGAGTTTGAGCATTACTTCCCAACCAGAAAAGACCCCTGAATTAGGAAGGAATGGATCTGTGACCCACTTGTGAATAAGCCAGGTGAATCAATTTTGTCCATGCTAGAAGAGGATCAACTGCTTCAGACTGAAGATGACGGTGGCCTTAAAAGTATGTTTGAGACAACTTCAAATCTCCATACGTTCTGGATTAAAGTCAAGGCAGAGTATCCTGAGATTGCCACAAAAGCACTGAAAAGCCTGCTTCCATTTCCAACATCCTGTCTTTGTGAAGCAGGGTTTTCTGCAGTGACAGCAACCAAAACGAGATTACAGAGTAGACTGGACAGAAGCAACACACTTCCGTTGTCACTGTCTCCCATCACCCCCCGATGGGACCATCTATTTGCAGGAAAACAAGCTCAGGGCTTCCACTGATTCTGCATTATGGTGAGCTGTATAATTATTTAATTATATATTACAATGTAATGATAATAGAAACAAAATGCACAATAAATATAATGTGCTTGAGTCATACCGAAACCATCCCTTCCCCCCCTCCCCCCGGTCCATGGAAAAATTGTCTTCCACGAAACCGGTCCCTGGTGCCAGAAAAGTTGGGGACTGCTGTATTATAAGATATTTGTGAAGTTTTCGTAAAAGTTCACATAGGAGCTTTTACTGGAATACTGAGACCTAAGAGAGAATTATTCCCATGGATTAAGATAAAACAACACTATAATGGACTGTGTCCTCAACAATATTCTTCATTTATAATAACATAATACAATGTAATATAATATCACTGTTCTAATGCTAAAATTAAATTTACTAGGAATTCACTTCACAGTATTCATTTAACAGCCTGGCTGGAACCATGGATAATGTTGAGAAAAGCTAGATTTGTGTTTTCCAAAGTGTATTCATTAGAACACTCATTTTATAGGATAATAATAAGTGTTATGCCAGTAAAGAGTTCCAGGATCATTGGGAATTGCTAGGATAAAAAAATTAAGCAGAGGGCTTCCCTGGTGGAACAGTGGTTGAGAGTCCGCCTGCCGATGCAGGGGACACGGGTTCGTGCCCCGGTCCGGGAGATCCCACATGCCACGGAGTGGCTGGGCCCGTGAGCCATGGCCGCTGAGCCTGCGCGTCCGGAGCCTGTGCTCCGCAAGGGGAGAGGCCACAACAGTGAGAGGCCCGCGTAAAAAAAAAAAAAAAAAAAAAAAAAAAATCAAGCAGAATTTTTATAGTTATATTCTTTAGCACTTTTATTATGTAATATGTTAAAATAATAATAATTAAACAATGTTAATGATTAAATAATAACTTAATTATTATAATTAAATTAATTAAACTTAATTTCTTATGTTAAATAAATAATGTTAAAGTCCAAGAGGAAGTTTTATCTAGTATGTGCAAGCAATTTTGAGGGGATTGCCTAGCCAGACCAATGTTTTAGGAGACATTGCTTAGAAAATAATTTTCCAGGGGCTTCCCTGGTGGCGCAGTGGTTGAGAGCTCGCCTGCCGATGCAGGGGACGTGGGTTCGTGCCCCGGTCCGGGAAGATCCCACATGCCGCAGAGCGGCTAGGCCCGTGAGCCATGGCCACTGAGCCTGTGCGTCCGGAGCCTGTGCTCAAAAAAGGGAGAGGCAAAAAAAGGAAAAGGCCCCCGAACACAAAAAAAAAAAAAAAAAAAAGAAGAAAATAATTTTCCAGAAGAATAAAGGTAATACAAGCTAGTCCTCCATGAATGTAAAGAAGTTTCTTAAGATATATATATCAAAGTAGTAGACTATATACATTAAATTTGTACAGTGTTACATATCAAATTTATCCAATTAAAAAACAGGAAAAATTAGATTTTTTTTCTATTGACACTTCAAGGTTTGGCAGTAAAATTTTAAGAGTGCAGAGGCTGCATTTTAGACAAGAGAATAGTAGTAAATCCTTTCAAAAGCACAGGTATTTGCATTCATTCAAATAGATTATGACAAACATTTCTAATAATAAATATTTTTCTATTTTTAGTTTGCTGCATTTAAATGAGTACTTACAGATAACAACAAAACCAGATGTGTTAGGTTGCTGGCTGTATAACTTACTAATCATACAACAGAGTCTTAGTTGTTTGTTAGTAATAATTGAATTTATCATATATAATCTGTGCTAAAATGATAAAATTGGACTAAATAATCTCCCATAGGTTGGTCGTCTAAAATTCTAGATTTTCTGTGCCAGTGTGTTAGCCTTCAAGCTTGGATTTTGAGTTACTCTTCTCTTAAGGGTTTCATAATTGCTTCCTCAGCCACTTTGCTTCTCTTAACAATGAAAAACTTGTTTGTTATTTATAAATAAAATTTGAAATGACATTACAAGTTCAACAACTACCCTAAAACTAATTTCAAAAACATGAAAAAGTACTTAGTAAGATTTCTGTATTCTTCACTTCTTACTGTTCTGTGCCAATTTCTGTAGAAATCTATGTAAATCTGTTTAGCACATTAATTTAAGCATTTTTTCTATTAAGAATAAATTAATTTGTTATAAAATAAATGATAAAAGAGTTAAGGCTTCTTGAAAAACAATGTAGCCTTCGTTTGACATTCTAGATATTGAAAAATAATCATTGTGAAAAGAGTGAACATTCATGTAAAGTTTCATTTCTAGTTTATTTACCTTGGGACTTTATATTCCTACTGTGACTGAGAGAGATTATTCAAGGTTAAGTAACTTTCAGGAGGTTTGAAATAAAAATGAAGAAAAAGAAGTCCAAACAAACTCAGATTTATTTTTGTTCTTTTTTAAAAGCTAATCATTAAAAAATTAAAAAGAAAAAATAGTCAAGTAACAGATACTTTCTGAAAGTTTTCCTCTATTATGTGGAAAACATTTGAATATGCATAACTTTTTGAAGCCCTACTATACCTAGAACTTGAGAGTTATGAAGAAAACTGAGTGACCTGGAATCCTAAGCAAAAATTAATTTTAGTGAAAGAAAAGTTATTTTGATGATAAAACTGCTAATGTACTACACGGAATTATACAAAAGAAATATACACTTTACAAGAAGATATATAGAAAAGCAAATGATGGAAGGTGAGGAAGGTATTTTGAAATATATTTTTTGTGGTAAAGAGTTACTTTATTTTTTTTTAATTTTTAAGTTTTACTTTAAATGTATATTGTACCTCCTTTCAAAGACTTTACTACCAGTAAGCTGTTTCAAGCATCTGAATAACAATACTGTGAGGAAGGTAACCCATTTTATTACCTACATTACAGGGAAGAAAATTGAAAGAAAGTTGTCTGTAGAAGAAATGTATTTTGTTACATAGAATAAGCTACTATAGAACAGAAAGCAGCTTCCTGACATTAGTTCTACCTGTATCTAATTTGTTTAGTTTATTTACTTTGTGCATTTTCTACATAAATAGAATAGTTGCATTTTTAGTAATGAGTCTGAATACTCATGTATTTAAAAAGCTAATCATCACTATTTAGAGGAAAAACAACATTGAAGGTACATGAAATACGTTTTTATTTTCTGGCAGTGGACTGAAACATAAAGGTGAATGAAATGACCCGAATTTCAACATTACATCCAGTTTTCATTGTAAAGCAAACCTAGATTGCATCAGAACGTTGAAAAAATCGTGGGAACTGTTTCAGAGGGGAATCCCAACCTTTATTTTAAGGGAGGGGGAGATGTGTTGGAGGGGAAAAGCTCTTATAACTATGAAAAGGTTGATGGCTTCTGCTGTGATCCCTGAGGACATTTGAACTAAAAGAAACATCTTATCAGATTGGATAGTTTTCAGTTTTTGTTTTCAACCTCTCTTCTTATTTGTTTTACAGTGGATGGAACTGAGGTTCAACACTCTGGCAAAATGCCCACACTGCAAAAAAATGTAAGTTCTGTACCACTGGAAATAATGTTGGGAAATATTTGAGAACAATTTAAAGAGTTCAGAATTCTCACTTAAGTAAATTTTGACTTTAAGACATACTATGGGATGAATGTATGGTTAACATGTTTATGCTTTTCAAGACTAAAAAAAAGACGTCTTTGGACTGATTAATATATTCCATTTTGAAATTGAAATGATTGGGATTATCTATTCTCTAAAGGTAAATCAATTACCTTTAGAGAAAGTGAAAATTACTAAAATTATCAGTAACCTGGTAATGATTTTCAAATGTGCTAAGTGGTTATAATCTGTTGCAAATAATCTAAAATTTATATTTTTAAAATGGACTGTATAAAAAAATTGGACTGTAATCTTGGAGAAAAAGCCAAGATTTTGGGGGGTTTATAATTAGGAAGTTGGATGGCAAAGTTTTTATAATTATTTATCTCTCTTCAGTCAATTTCTCTGTATTCCTAAATGGTGTACCTAAGGAAAATAACAAAAGGCAATATAAAAATGGGAGAAACTAGAAGACATTTTGATTAAAGACATTTTATGCCATCTATGTTGGGAGACCCCCAAGTCACCCTAAGATATTTTGACTTTCTAGGAGAACTAATAGGACTTAGTATACAGTTATACTCACAGCTTTATGGTGAAAGTATGCAAAACAAAATCAGCAAAAGTAAAAGGCATTTGGGGCAAAATCTGGAGGAAACAAGGAGCAAGCTTCTAAGAGTCCTCTCCCAGTGGAGTCATAACAGGACTTCATTCCTCCAGCAATGAATTGTTACAACATATGTGAAATGTTTTTGACCAGAGAAGCTTATTAGGTCTAATTGGAGCTGGTCACATAGGCACCTGCTGCATAGCGCATGCCACAATTCCATATTCCCAGAAGGAAAGCAGGTATTTGGCATAAGCCATATTGGTTGTACAAGTAATTTAGGTATAGCAACCCACTCTTATCAGTAAGGGAATAGTTAGAACTTTTTTGAAATCTACGTTCCCAGGTGTCAGCCAAGGGCTTACCTTACAAGCCAACTTGTCTAAGGATAGCAGTGTTAGGCCTGCTATACTCTTTTCTGCACAGCATCTATTTTTTTTTTGCTTGTGGTACACGGGCCTCTCACTGTTGTGGCCTCTCCTGTTGGGGAAAACAGGCTCTGGACGCGCAGGCTCAGTGGCCATGGCTCATGGGCCCAGCCGCTCTGCGGCATGTGAGATCTTCCCGGACTGGGGCATGAACCCATGTCCCCTGCATCGGCAGGCGGACTCTCAACCACTGCGCCACCAGGGAAGCTCCCACAGCATCTATTTTGATAATGAAATTTTAATTCAAAAATTACTGTTTTCCACTTACATGTGTGGAAAGTAAGCAAAGGAAATTAGACTGGAATGTTTTGATAATTAATATTTAAAATAAAAAATATCAGCTCATAGTACATTTTTGTGATCCTTAGAATAATATAAATACTATATCTATTTTGAGAGTAAAATAATCCTAAGAGTGGTTTATAGGAGGAAAGAATTAAAAAGTGTCTGAGAGGTAGAATATATGTAACAAAATATCGCCATTTATTTGTGCTAGATCTGATTCCAACTAAATATAATCCTGTGGGAATAACTTCTTTACAGCACATTTCTAGCTTCAAAGGAACAGATATTTCCTTTTTTATTTATTTGTGAAATTAATCATATGAATGCTTAACTTAGCTGAATCCAGGACAAGTCTGTACATGGAGAAGCAAAGTGGATAACCCAAAATAAGTGCACAGAAAAATATATACTTCAGGGACATACCAAATACACGTGTGTGTGAATAATCCATATTTCTGTATGTTATCTGTATTTTCACAAAAATGAAGACAATTAAATTGCATATATCTTTATGAAGAACATTAAATTAGATTTTAAAAATCTTTTAGAAAATAAAAAACTTCTAATGATTAGCAGATTGTGTGCTAAGCACAGTGATTGTTGCTTTGTGTACACATATATACTAGCTGTAATCTTTACAAAAATCCTGGATAGCAAGAATTATTATCCTCATTTTATAGATGAGGAACTGCTAGAAAGGGTAAGGATTTTGCTCAAGTGATTTGCTTGGTTGGCTAATTATTTTAGAACAATGGCAATATTTTGCTAATAATAAAGAAGTATTGAATGTCTAGATATTCTACCATTGGTTAAGGTATCACAAGACTGTATTAATGTGGAGAAGAATTTATCAATTACTTAAGGAACAACTTGCTTTCAAATTCACATGAAATAAATCAGCTTAAATATCATTCTTAGAGGAATGTGTGTAGAATTGGAATCACATGCTGAGCTTGGGAGGACCTAGGGCATGCATTACTTATTTGAGCAAAGATGCTGTTATTACATGAACACTCATGGGTCATATCTAGATTTCTTTTCTTTTTGAATGTTTTTCTTAAAAAACTGATGAGTCATCTGTTGAAGTAAGATTCTGAGATTTTTATTTCTTTAAACTCAAATAGCAAATGTCCTAAAATTATTTTTAAGTTATAAAAGTTACTAAATCATTGCTATGAAACTAGCATGTTATTTTTATATCTCACAAAACAAGTGGGTAATACCTTCCCCCAGGGCTCCAGAGACCAAGAAGCATTTTTTATCTCACTGTTTTTTACTCATGCAATCACTGAGGCTGTTGTAGCTGAAGGTGTGGTCTCTCTTTCAATTGGGCAGCTTGTAGCTACTGCTGGGCAGGAGATGTAGTCCTAGCATTCTGAAATGACAACTTGGATGATATTTCCATGAAGATGTTTTAATGGACTTAAGATTAGTAGACATGATGATTTAATTCATGATAATTATCAATGAATATCATTTCTCCTACATCACTGAGGTACTTTGGGGATCTCTTCCAGTCATTTTAATCAATAGCAGACTCATTCTCAGAAGTTATCCTTTTATTTTTCTGTTTAGTGCTTTCTTTTATCATTATTCATTAATTCAACGTCCTGTGCTAGGTACTAGGTGCTCAAAATAAAGATATAACCTTGCCTTCAAGGGACTTAGTCTTGTGGGTATACGGAAGAGAATAGACCATTACAATAAAGTTTTAAGCGCTTTGGAAGGGTATACCCAGCATGCTCTGCTCTGAAGGGCCCCTAATCCAGACTGGAGGGAAAGGGAATGTGAATGAAAGCTTCCAGGAAGGAGGGATGTTAAAGATGACTTGGAGTGATATGAAAAAAAGGGCCAATGGTTCCTTGTAGAAGGAGCAACCTGTGCAAAGGTATAGAGGTACAGAGGAGTCAAAGTATAGGTGTGCTATGAAGGAAATGGAATAGATAGGGTTTAATGTGAAGGGACAAGAGAGAGATTGGGGTCAAGAATGACCTTGTATCTGAGAGGCTGTAGAACCATTCACTAAGATAGGGAATGAAAGATCTAGAAGAACTGTGTCCAGCAGAGAGATGATAAGCTCATTTTGAATGTAGGTATAAAGAGACTCTTAGGTTTTCTAGATTGGCTAGATCATCATCCCTTGAAATTCAGATCCATCTACCTGCTTTTCAAACCACCAATCTTGCATCAATATGGCCATGGCTTCTTCCTTCCTTTACCAAGACAACTGAGAGCTGAAAAAATTCTATGTTGATTAGCTCTTTACAAATGTAGAGCTTTACATTTCAGCTAAACCCTTGCTTGATATTCCCTATTTAAGTGTCCTTGATTAACTCTCTCCCCCATTCCTCAAAGTGGTTATCTCCAGATATTTTCTGTTCCTCTTAAACCCCCATCCCTCATACCCTCTTCTCTATCTCAGCAAATGAGTTGCCTTCTTCCTGTCTCTCTCAGATGTTTAAGGCTATCTGTGAACTCCCTCATCTTCACACTTCCTACCTCTAAACAATTTTTTATATCTATGCTCACTTTATTTCTTCTTAGAGGGATGCATGTCTCTTCCTTTCAAGGCATATCTCTTTAGTTCATCATGGTACCACATTTCTCCAGGAGTAAAGTAGAATTATTATCAGTCCCCACTAGGCCACTGAAATTTGCTCTGACAAAATTCATGTCCCAATTGCAAATTTTATTTTTTAAATTTATTTTTAATTGAAGTTTAGTCAAATTACAATGTTGTTATTACTGCTGTACAGCAAAGTGATTCAGTTATACATATATATATATATATATATATACATTCTTTTTCATATTCTTTTTCATTATGGTTTATCCCAAGATATCGAATATAGTTCTCTGTGCTATACAGTAGGACCTTGCTGTTTATCCATTCTATATATATCAGTTTGCATCTGCTAATCCAAACTCCCAGTCCAACCCTCTCCCCACTTGGCAACCACCAGTCTATTCCCTATGTCCCTGATTCTGTTTCTGTTTCATAGATAGGTTCATTTATGTCATATTTTAGATTCCACATATAAGTGATATCATATGGTATTTGTCTTTCTCTTTCTTATATACTTCACTTAATATGATAATCCCTAGTTGCATCCATGTTGCTGCAAATGGCATTATTTCATTCTTTTCTATGGCTGAGCAGTATTCCATTGTATATATGTACCACATCTTTTTTTTTTTTTTTTAAATATTTATTTATTAGGTTGTGTCGGGTCTTAGTTGTGGTGCGCAGGCTCTAGAGTGCTTTGCAGCATGTGGGATCTTAGTTCCCCAACCAGGGATTGAACCTGTGTCCCCTTCATTGGAAGGTGGATTCTTAACCACTGGACCACCAGGAAAGTCCCTGTACCACATCTTCTTTATCGATTCATCTGTCAATGTACATTTAGGTTGTTTCCATGTCTTGGCTATTGTGAATAGTGCTGCTATGAACATAGACGTGCATATATCTTTTTGACATAGAGTTTTGTCAGGATATATGCCAGGAGTGGGATTGCTGGATCATATGGTAGTTCTATTTTTAGTTTTCTGAGGAAACTCCATAATGTTTTCCAAAGTGGCTCCACCAAATTACATTCCCACCAACAGTGTAGGAGGGTTCC